TTTTTTTGTTTGTTTGTTTGTTTGTTTGTTTTTTTTTTTGAGCCAAATGCCTTCAAGGCATGACTGGCTGTCTTATGTTGTGGGGATCAAACCACAGCAACCTGAGCCTGACTGCTTTGTTGAAGCAGCCACTTAAAGAACTGAGCTAAGGGGCCGGCCCCCAAGAAATGGGTTATTAAATCACCAAATAATTAGAATTTTCTCCTTTTATTAGTTTCTAGTTATGTTTAGTCATAGCCTTAAATAATTCTGTTTATGATTTCTGTTATTTTAAATTTGTGAATTTGGACTTCTTGAGTCAGTGTTCTCTGTTGATCAAACTACTGACTCAATTACCTAAAGAGAAAAAATTCTCTTAAGCTTTCACAGAGAGCAAATTGGTCAAGCAAGGGCCATGACTCATCCAGATGGCTGACACTGACAAAAGATCTATAAGGTGCTGTACATGGTTCCAGTATAAATCCTGAGGGAATTTGACTGACCTTGTCAGATACAAAAGTTACATTTTTAGTTATATAGGTCTTGCTTTAATTTGGTCTTAACCATCCAGAGGAAAAGTATAACCACAAGATATAAAAAGTAATGCCATATTAATATGCTGAGCTGTAAAAGGCTCAAATCAACAACTTCTGACAATTGCCAGTTCTGCTGATAACCCACTACTATTCTGGACTATTGGTCTATATTGGGTTATTTTGCTGAATTCAAGTACCTACAATCTTTAGGCTGGCTTCAAGTATGCAAAGGTCCTTTAAAGACTTCTCCAAATACAGCTTCTCTAACTGCAGTGGAGCACCCATCTCGGACAAAACAAAAAGGGGGATATGTTGGGAGCCACGAAGCTGGGAAATGGATCAGATATGTGTAGGGGGGACTTGGCCCAGTGCCTACAGAAAAGAAGCTACCTCAGTCCTGAGATGATCATCCTGTCTGGCTAAGGTTCGCTATCAGTCACACAACCTAGGTCATGTGTTACTAACTTCACAAAAGTATAAATAAAGGACCATTTTGTTGTGGAAAAAAAGAGAAAAATATATATGTATACACAAGAGAGTTAGGATAGATATACAGCTACTTTCTCTTAGTTCATTGAGAATAAAAGTTTGTACTAATATTATTTAGACAAGATATCATGTCTGCATCTTGTCCTCTGAATAACTACTATGAAGGCAACAATATGCAATTGTAAAGGGTTAATGTGAAATAATGCAATGAGTTAATATAAAACTAAATGTAAAAATTTACTTTGCTCAACTTTCTGTGACTGCTTGCTTCCTTGTAAGACTGAAGGAGGCTCGGTGTACTGTCAATAAATCAATAGACTAAGAGTTAGCAGAATAGGCTTACTAAACCAAAGTAAAAGTCAAAATGTTTCTAACTATACAAAACCAACTAAAAAGCATTGCTGTGATAATCGAGACCACTGTACACAGGTGTACCTTAAACAAGAATTAGACAATGCCAGGTTCGCATTCTTTTATGTTTAAAATGCCACCAAAGAGAAAACTAAAGGGGACAACAAGGCCGGGAAGCTGCTCCCAAACTCCCAGGAAAAAAAAATTGTATGCTGAGTAATGGTCACACTGTCCCTCAAGGTACTGTTCTATGTTAAATGACAAATTTGTTTGCCAAACAGGATGCAGTTTTTACCTTTAAAACCTCTGTACTTCTAAGGCTGTCTCGCTGTTTGTCCGCTTCTGCATGAGTATGGTCAAGCGGTCCCGGGCCCGGTAATAAAGGTTCATAAAATTTAATAATTGGATTTTGGTCTGGTTTCTGTGTTAAGAACCCATAACAGCAATGTATTAATTATCATAACTGTCCTACTAACCTGATTTGAGACTGTTTCATTGCTATTTTATCTTTTTTTCTCATTAAAATGAATAAAAAATACTACTAACTCAATTTGAGAATGCACAATATGCTGTTGCTGATAATGTCAATAAATCCACCAGATTGATCGCTTCTGTTCAGTTCTGACTTCCTTACTTATTTTGATGGTTACATCTGTCAGGAACTGACAAACGTTTGTTGCATTCTTCTGCCGCGATGATAAATGTATCTGTTTTTTGTAGTTATGTCAGTTGTTCTCTAATCTATTTTGTTAATACCATATTTCTTTTCTCTTTGGCTCAACCAGAGATGTTATTGCAAACCTTTAAATAAATAATTTCATCAATAAAACCAGGGAACTCCAGGATACTAAAATTTCTCCTTTGCTTTCTCACAGAAGAGCTTAAAATTTTAAGGGTTTAGGAAACAGTACACACAACTCAACAAGAATTCGGACTGATGATGAAAACCAACACAGATGGAAAGAAATCATCTGCTGTCCACAGCTCTTCCTTCCTGCCCTGGAGAAGCCCATTAGTGGGGATTTTAGGCACCAATGCTACTGGATGTAGTGGTGCTTATTCATATCCAGTGTAGTAATGCTCTATAATGCTGAATCAAAACTGAAGACAGCTAAATAACTAAGAAAATTAAGTGCTGCCAGTGAGATAACCCAAATAGCCCAAACTGTTGTTTTTGTTTTTGGCAGAGTGGGCCACAATAATATGTCACACACACACACACACACACACACACACACACTGTCTGTCTCTCTCTCCTGATAAGAGAATTATAAATTTGTTTAAAGAGAATTTAAACTACTTTTAGTAATGACACTCTTATCTTCCCTCCAAGGGATAGGGAAATGGACTTACTGAATAGCACCATTGTTCTAAATCTCAACAACCAGTAGGACCTGTACAATGAGGTTGAAGGTCATGCATGACCATGTCTGGCACCACTGAGCATGGTCTCTGCTCCAAGCTGTTCAGTAAGGGCAGTTTTTGCAGACAGCCGTGTGCTGGGGCCGTCACTGGTTGGGCCCTTTGTTAAAGTCTTGCAGATCAGCCTTCAGGGTGCAGGAGGATGGCTCACAGAACTCAGGAGGGCCAGGAGAGCTGGAGGACTGGGAATAGTGGTAATTCCTTCCACCCCCCTGGGCACATGCTCACTTTCTGGTCTTCTCTCCCATAGATGTCAGGGCCTGAGACACCTACTGCTCTGGAAAAACATTTTAGGCCTCTTCCTGGAGGGCACACATCTGCTTTTCTCCCTTCTCACCTTATTATCCAGCTGTGCTTGTGAATGAGTTTAATATTAGACACAGTTTCTAGATTACAAAAATACAAATGTGTGGTTTTTTCTTTTCGAAGGAGGTTCTTGTGTTCAGGTAGAGCCAAAGTAGTCTAACCTACCCACAATTCAGAGGAGCCAAAATCTTCCCAGGAAGCTTCTCAAACAATTCACCTTTGTTTTCAGTCAAACCTAGCTGCACTTTATATTAACTTTCAGAATGCTTTCTCTTGTCTAATCTATTTTGATATTCTGTCTGGGGATGTACACCTAGAAAGGTAGATGTCTTTCTGAAGCATTAACCCCTTTATCATTATTTTATGTTAACTTAGAGTGAAGATTGACATGCTAGACCAGGAAGGCTACCAGAGTTTTCAACGTTCTATTTACTCCACATAACATGAGACAAGAACATAGATTCAGAGTCTAAGAGGATCACCAAGGGCTAAGTTAGGATGGAGACTTCTTACTTTGTGGTGAGAAATATCCAGTTTATTCTTATAGGGAAAACTACTGAATTCCACATGTGGGAATATATCCTCTCAATATGTAGCTTGGATGCAAAGGGTTTTAGGGGAGGATTTCACAGTTGATTGTAAAGCATAGGACTGTCACTGGTCTAGACACTAAAATTTATTATCATTCACCAGCAACTTCAGTTCGAAGAACCTCTTCGAAAATGTAGCTGACTCTCTACATTCAGTAAAATATGTGCAAGTTAGTTGGTATATACAAAAACTCTATATTAAAAGTTCATAGGATGAGGGAGGCAAAACACCCAGATTAGTCGATAAAATACTGGAGAAGAACCAATTAGGAGCACAGAATATGCAACTTCAAGTCTCTCTGTAAAGCAGCAATGATCAAGGCCGTGGTATGTTATAGGAGAAATAGACAGATGCATCCACAGAACAGAGCAGACCAGAACAGAACAGAACAGAACAGAGCCTGGAAGTAGAACAATGTAAATATAGGCAGCTCAGCTCCAGTTTGGAACAAAGGCAACATAGTAAAAGGGAGCCAAGTCCCCGCAAGCAGGGCAGTATCACCTAGACACCGTCTTCATCAAGCAGCCCAACATGTAGAATAAGTTTTTAAAAGGGGTATAAAAAATTTCATACAAAAGGGCAGGAGTGGGCCGGCCAAATAGCTCAGCAGATTAAAGCACATGCAAGCAGGCACAGGGGCTGGGGGTTCGATCCCCAGGCCTGCCATGCCAGCCTCACCCCTGGGGTGCACTGAGATGGCAATTGAGACTGGACATGGTGATACGTGCTTGTGATCCCAGCTCTTGGGAGGCTGTAACCAGGCGGATCACTACAAGTCTGATCTAGTAGTGAGACCCTGAACACTCTGTAGATTCTTCCCTAAAATACAGAAAGGGGGGGCAGAAAAATATTTGTAGAGATAATGACTAAAGTATACATAATTGATACAAATTACTGATTTATGTGTTTATGTATTTTAAAATACAGCAGACATGTGCATTCACAGACATATCACAAAGTGTGGAGAATTGAGAGAAAATCTTGTTAAAGGTGGTAGAAAACTGTTTTTCTTCACGTACCACAGGACTGCAATTATAGTCCTGTCAGGGGCAAGGGGGTGGAAGCCCTGACAGACGGGGTAGGTGGGGTTGGATGTGGGATGTGGAAGGCTCACCCAGGTGGAAGATGTGCTGGCATGGAGGGTGGGGTGGTGATGGAGGAAGTGTGGTCTCTTCTCTCTGGCACCCCTCCCTCTCTGGACCCCTTTGTGATGAGGAGGAGACCACAGCTCTGTGATGCAGGCCTGGGCCCCACCCCACCCCCCACTGAGAAAACTCAGGCTCAGTACCCTGAGGGGACAGTTCAGTTCAGACGATGGAGAATCTTCTCTTTCTTCTGAAAAGTATTGGTTCCACATGGCTGAGCACGAGCTCCACCAGCTGGGCAGTGGACATGATCCTTGCCTGTGCGTGTGGGTTGGTGCTCTTTATCCTACTGATCCCTTTTCTTGACTCCAATCCATCCTTCCCATCAACTGGGAAAGAGAACAACAGAAAGGTAAGTGACGCTTGAGAGAAATCCAATAGACAGGATTGTTTTTTCTTCTATATGTCTCACTTTCCTAAACCATTTGAGAGAATTATGAGAGTGGAAATGTCAGTAATAGGGGGCTGGGGAGATGGCTCAGTGGAAGAAGCTCTTCCCTGGCAAGCACAAGGACATGAGTTCAATCCCTGGTATAAAAAAAAAAAAAGAAGAAGAAAGAAGAAAGAAGAAAGAAAGAAGAAGGAGGAGGAGGAGGAAGAGGAGGAAGAGGAGGAGGAGGAGAAGAAGAAGAAGAAGAGGAAGAGGAAGAGGAAGAAGAAGAAGAAGAAGAAGAAGAAGAAGAAGAAGAAGAAGAAGAAGAAGAG